ATAACTTTTCTAGAGTGATAGACAGAGATGAGATAAAGGAATTGGTATGCAAGAGCTATCACCCAGTTGCTGCATCTACAAATGCAACGGTATCTGCTTCTCAATTTTCCCTTCTTGATTTCCTAGTATTTTCACAAATTAGCGGTGTTGTCTCTCACATGAATAATAGGAAGTGTCCAAAATTTTTGCAGTTGATCAGATGGAGCATTTAGAAGTTGTGCTGTTCCATGAAGTGAGACAGAAATGATGTCCAGATGAGCACACAGCCTCACAGGTTTAGCCTAAGACATTATGAAAACCAAAGCAAAACATTCATCATTCCAACCTTGAGCTGAATGATCCATAGTGGGATAATCTCCAGCAGATCTTAGGAAAAACAGGGTTTAGGTGAGGTGTTCTTGGTGACATCCCAAGTGATTCCCAAATCCCTGAATAAAAGATGGATCTGATGGTTTGCATGATTCCCAACCTCCAGACTGAAATATGGTACTACATTGGAAAAAAAAATAGGAGGAATTGTTCTGCATCTATTAAACACCTCCTCTGTTCCTCAGTACAAATATTTTTCTAGCCCTCAGAATGCAGAGAGGGTTCTGAAAATCAAGCTGGGTTTCTGTGGATCAACAGAGGTGCCATTCCTACCTCACAGCTTTGCAGATATGATTAAAGCCTGGAGCACAATGCTGTGCTCCATGGGACATATCTGACCCACACGCTGCCTTTTCAACTCTCCCTCTTCTAAATCATGTACATTATGACTGAATAGGAAGAAAACGTGTAAACAAGAACAGAAAAGGTCGTTGCAAGTTCATTAATTCTGATCACTTAATAAGCTGTAAATTGAAGTGCATGAATTCCATTCTCTTGAACACCAGGATAAATTTGAAGAATCTCTATTGACTTAATTTACGCTGATATGCATTAGAATAGTTTCTGGCACAGTGAGAATCAAAATAATTATTACAGCCACATTCAGGACCAAAAGGCACCTAGTTCCCATTTAGTAGCTAAATGAGGGCCAGACTTGAAAAAAATTAAAGAATTCACCAATTAAAAAAAATTTATCTTCATTATATCTTAAAGGTGGTGCAAAGGTATGGCCATGGAGCCTGTGACATTTAGGGCTGCAGGACTGGCCTGAAGAAGCAGGGTGACACTTTGCACCTACCTGATGAGAACATTGTGCTGTGCAAGAGTGTGACTACTGTCCTCTGTGTCTGCTTCTCACAGCAGACAAAGATGAACTGCATACAAGGAAGCAGAGCTGTTTGAATAACTTTGTCAGGCCCATATTCAGAGTGGTGCTGATACATTTCAGAGCTCTTTGCTTGCAGGTCCCCTCAGGGGTCATGAGGACTCCAGGAAGATATCTTCCTATGCAAAGACAAACATTGTTTTGGAATTCTTTACTCTGTGGTTTGGATGCTGTCCATAAAATCTTACACTAGCTTTCCTGGAAGATAAAACAATTGGCCACTGCCAGGGATCAAAAGGCATCCCAAACATCTTCATGAATACCTTAAGTTTCTGCAATAATGACAAAGGCATTGCAGTGGGAGAAAAAAACTTGAGAAACCTTAAAAAAAAAAAAAATTAAAATAAATCACTGAGGCTGCTCGGTTGCAATACCACGACGTTTCCTCTGTCTTCTGCTGCTGCTGGTTTGTCTGCAAGGAAGTCCCAAGAAGGCAGATCTAAAGCGATGCCCTTGAAACATGCGGCTGTGAGTGTCCGGGAATGATCCATGACGTGTCTGGCGAGCTCCTCCTGCCGGCTGCTCTCCCGGCGGCCGGGCCCGTGCCGATAGACCCAGATTTCGGTTTAGCTTCTCGGGAAGCTGAAGGGAGGCAAAGCTAATGCCACATCTTCCTTATTGTCACAGCAGTAATGCCTCTCGTATCACTGCTCATGCCCTCCCAGACAGACGGAGGGGCTGCGGTCCATGCCAGGAGCTGGGCAGAGCGGCAGCTGTGCAGGAGCCTGGGGAGCCCGAGGAGCAAAGGGGAGCAGGGCTGGCAGCGAGGACAGCAGGGACAGGACCTCGGTGTAAACGGGCACAGGGGCACAGTGACCAAGCAAGAACAGCAGAGAATTCCGGTGAGAGTGACCACATTTAGCCAAGGGCTCAGTGAGCCCAGGTCTGAGGCCAAGCCAGGAAGTGAAGTCAGGATCAGCAAGGTCCAGCCTACCCCAGATGAGGACCAAGGACAAGGGCAGCTCTGTGCCATAGCTCAGAGGCCTCAGAAGGCTTCTGCCAGCTCTTTGGCACATACTTCTTTTCCCAGCACTGATCCCAGATCACACTCCACCATATCATGACAGACCTCGAGCACAGGCAGCCAAACCTGTAGTACAGGGAGAAGAGGTTGTGAAGTCAGCTGGTGCACCCAGGGCCCTGTCAACACACTGCCCAGCAGAGCCAGTGGAGAACATAAAAATTATTGGAAGTGCTGACAAAAGAACCTGGGTACAAATATGCCACACAGGTTGTCAGTGTGAAATATTGGCGATCTGTACTTCAGCTGTTTCGGGGTCTGGTCAGGAATGACCTTTGCAGGGCACTGTATGTGTGCTTTTGTTTTGCCAGCCTGTTGGGAAACCCTCCTTTCTAAGCCAGAGTAAACTTAAGACTGCCACTGGGATGTAACAACAAAGCCTCTCCAAATTTTTCACCTATATTTTAAACCAGAAAAAAAACAAATGTACACTAATTCTGGCTTCCCTTAAAAAATAATCCATCCACACCACATACTCCTCTGTGACATTTCACCTGCCCAGTTCCTTGGTGGAGCTGTGTCCCAGAAGAAGAAAACAGCTGAGACACACTGATACCCATTTCCTACCTCCTCCCTGGTGACATCTGCCACAGCCCTGCACTGGCAGGTCTCACAGGTATGTGTACCTGCATGGGGAGGTGAAACATCCTGAGGCAACAAAGCCCAAGTGGCAGATAACAATTGTCTTCAAAAAGGGAGCTTGTTGAATCAACAGGGAAAGACTAACCCTTTGGAAAAGGGTATCCCTGATTATCCTATTGAATTACAACAGGAGAAATCAAAGACAGACAGAGAGGGGAAGGGGAAAAACAGGAGGTGAGCATCCCAATAGTGTTCCCAGCTGGACTGACATTGATACACTGCTTAGATAAAGCCAGTCTGCCCTGGAAAGGCTGAGTAGATAAAGTAGAGAGCAATGGTCTGCTGAAAAAAGAACATCTTTTATCAATATTGATTTAAAAAATTCTCCAGATTACGTAAGCTATTTTGGAAAAAAGTCACCTTTCCGAAGAGCAACCCCTAATTTTGCTGAGGTGGCCAGGGATATATTGTGTCTCCTTCCATACAGAGCACTGAATGTATACAGGACTGCTACTAATGTGGCTTCTCTGCCAAGCAATTGTATTCCTGTACTTTATGTTTCCAGTGTGAAAACTCTAATGAAACATTTTAAACCAAAGCCGTTTCCTTGGAGCTGCCTCTGACCTTCTTTTTTTCTCTCTCAGCCAAATCTCCCTGCCAGGATGAATTCAGACCTAATGTCTGCTCCTCCCACCAGGCTTTTGGATATGTGACAATATCCTAGTCATTGGGAGCTGTGCCTGCTGGTGTCCATTGTCTTGTGTCCAGTTTGGGAGAGGGCTTTTAAGGAAAAGCCCAGAATTAAATTCATGAAGAGTCCAATGATTTACTGGAATGACCAACCATGTAGCTACTTTCTGCACGCATCTATCAACAACTTGTGAGTCCTTAGTAATTAACTCACAAGGCTCCAGCATAAGAACAGTTCAAGGCTCAAGAAGAGGCTTTTGAAAGTTTAAAAAACAAAACAAATAGACAAAACCAAACTTGAAATAATGGTCCAATCTAAAAATACTACAAGGCTGTGCATCAGCTAGAGCTGTGGTAGGGGGACTGCCTACCAACCTGTTACATTCCCTAACAGAGTTCCAGCAGGCACAGAGAGGGGTTACATGCTGCCCAGACAGAGCTGCTGGCTGGCTCTGTGCAATGCATCTGTCCCAGCAGTTCGGTGACAGGCACAGCACAGACAGTGCAGCCCCATCACAGCCACTGCTGAGCACAGCCAAGGCACTGCATCAGGACACTGAGGTCCCAGTGCGGTGACAGGAGATAACACAGGGGAAAGAAAGGAGCTGCTCGTAATGGAAATGCCAGGTGCCTTGCCCAGGTAAAACAGGAGGCTCTGTGGGACAGGGGATCCAGACCAACAGCCACAACGTGGCCGATGCGAGGCCCTGGGTAATCCAGCAGTGGTGCTCGTGGTATGATGGGGCACTACCAGAAGGAAAGCAAGTTACAGGCCTCATTTAAAATCTGTCACAATTGTGGAAACACTACATGTAACATGTATGCCTCATTTTTTATAATGTCATCTATACTGCCTGCCCTATATATTTTAGGTGCATGAACAAATACAAACCTTGGGAGAAAGTAAAACTTCTTTCTTTGTTAAACCTCCTGTAATCACACTGCAGACAGGGTGCAAAAACCTTTGCAGATATCTATCCAATTCCCACATTAAATCAGTGAGTTACTTGACAAATGCTTTCATTTAAAGACCAGCTACCTGCTAGGAATTCACAACTAGGCTGGAGCCCTTTGTCTTCGAACTCTTAACTTTTCTTCCTCAGCCCCCTGCCCCCCCTTCCATCAATGTTCTGCAATTTGCCAGCCTCCTTTATGTCTCAGTTATGTCTGCACAATGTGAGGCAGGCAGACCCATGTGCCCACAAACAGAAAAGCTCCTCCAGCTCACAATAACTCAGCAGGCTCCTGCGATTTTCAGAGCCTGCATTACTGTGTGCCCATGTCTGCTGTCAAATTACTGCCTGGACACGGGCTCCACGGCTAACCTCAGCCTTACCCCAAACACCAAAATGCCTCTGAGCCCTCAGGAACATTCATCTTCTCCTGCAGCTCTTCCTACACAAAGTGGTGTAAACCTGGCTGATGCTTCCAGGGAATAAAGAACAAGCTCACCCCTCCAAAGAAGTGTTATGGTTTGATGGCCTCTTTCTGCAACCTACTGAGAGTGGCTGTGCTCCATGTCATGCATTTAAAACACATCAAAACAGATTTGAAGGGTGGACAGTTCTCCTGAGGTTTCTAAAGGAAAATAGAGATGAAAGCCACGAAAAACAATCGTCCACACACAGCAGAGGTTGAAAAGTAAAATCTAAACATAAGTTCATTTTCCCTTTAGTGCAAGTTCTGGCAGTCCCAGGACTGTTCTAACTTCTAGCTGCTCGGCAGGGCTGCAACATCACAGCAGTGAGGGGAAACCCTGAGTACATTTATTACAACCTTAGCTGCCTTTCCTTAAACCCCCTACCCTGCTCTACTCTATCTGAGGCTGGGAAAACACAATAATACGAAGCTGCTCCTAAAGTTCCTGCAAGGGAAACAGTTATTTTCATGTCCTGCCTCACTGTAAATACCTGCACATAGGAAAGATGGCAAGCACAGATCACACTAACCTGTAATTGAGGCAAGTCAAAGATGTTACTGACTGTAATTGCTGTTGCCTGTCTCGACCTTCTCCTCGAGGTGTCTCCACCTCCCATTACAATGTCACAGCTAAGGGAGTTCCCTGGTGGTCTGCAAAGAAGTAAAAGAGCAAGCGGTTAAGAGAGAACTGACACTGTTTACATAACATTAAAATTAATTCTAAATCAACAATTCAGAGAAAGTAACGTTATTGCATAAAAGCAGACTGAAAGAGATTTCACTGATAGACGGTGCTAACAGCAACATTCTGTATATATAAAGCATTCTGTACCCAAAATCCTCAAAATATTTTAGAAAAAAAGAATACACTACCTTTCTCCAGTGCTTGGCAGACAAAGATAAGCATAGACATTCATAGGGTTTTATTAAAGTAACTGACAGTTTCCCACCAGAAGGAAGAACAGAATCCAGGCTTTTCAATCCCTTACTCAGTTATGTGCATTATTTTAAAGCAGCCCTTGGATCTAGTCATTTTAGTGTAGGTTGTGTAAAAAGGAGCACTAAAGCAGAAATATACATGTGTTCTACATCTTAAACCAAGATTTTCCTCCTGGAATGGCAATAAGGATACTTATATGCCTTAGGTTTTCTAGGCAGCCATAAAGCCTTCATCCTCCTGACTGTGCTGGTAGCCAGGATAACCCCCAGTCCATCTTCTATGCCCAGTGCTTGCTGCAGGAGGGAAAGACAACAAAGCCTGTGATAGAACTCCATCAGGGAAGTCCTTTTGGGCCCCATTTCCATCAGCTCATAAAAGGAACAGCCTGGACCCACATGCTGGGCTCTGCTAAGGCTGCTCCAGGCTTTGGCTCTTCATTTGCAAGAGAAATGGCTCATTCAGTCAGAGTTTCCCTCTGACCTCTGCAGACACTTCAGACTGCTGACCTCATCTGCCCATGGCTCCCACCACTGCTGGGCATCCTCAAACAGGTGCTCCTGGACTAAACCCTCTGCCTTCCCAGGCAAGCTGAACTAACACAGCTCCAAGAATCCCAAAGCAGAGCTCCCAGGAGGCTGTTGGTGCATGGGCTGGGAATGTTCAGCCCTCAGCATGTTTATTTTCTGTACAGAAAAGCAGAGGCCGAATGAACAGGAGGTAAAGACGAGAGGGCGTAAGTTTAGCTTTGTCAGGTGAAGTTAACAAACACACTTGCATGTGTGTGAGTGTGCACTTGACAATACAGATCTCTTTGCTGAAACCACTGACAGCTACACCTCCTGTTAGCGTGCAGGTGTTCAAGAAAGTCCTGCAGTTCCTGTAGACAACTTTTTGGCTGGTGACTGGCCACTCTCATCTCTGCAGCAGACTTCCAGACTCAGTTTTGTGCCCAGGGATGAAAGGAGATAATGCTACTTCAGCAGGGGAATCCCTGTGCTTGCATTGCATCCTAGGAAAAAGACACATCTCTCCAGACATGCTCATCACCCACCTTTACCCTGGCACTCACAGCCAAGAGTATCACAATCCAAAGACATCTGCTCTTAAGAGCCCCATTCTAGAGAGAAGATTACCCTGTTCCACAGCTAAGGACACAAAGGCATTCAGTGGCTGAACTGGGAATTCAGTGCTGGTTTTAAGTCCAAGTTCAGAGTCCTGCTCACTGGACTAATCTCTAGACAACAACATTTTTGTGCTTGGCAGAGAGGTGGGAGCCTTCAGGTCTGAAAGGATACTGAGGTCCTCAGGTGGAGTCACAGATAGATGGATCACTAACTAACATACTTTTCCATAAAAGTGGCAAAAAACCAAAGCAGGCTAGGTCAGTTCTTCTGCTGGTCTCCAAAGAACACCCAATTATCAGAGTGAACATAACAATCTTTAATAAGTAAGCTGGTTTGGAAGCTGAACTGTTTGTTCCAAGTGCCACATAGACACCAGCTCTTGCTGCTGGCAGAAGAGGCCTGTGAATCAGAGCCTGAAGTCTGATGCAAGAGAAGTTTGGGCGTCTCAAGCTGCCTTCCCGAGCAGAGAACAACCCTATTAGTTTGAGAAAGTCCCCTGCCTGCTTTCTCTCTGAGTAATTAAGAGTGAAATCCTCCTCTCAGTGACCCCAATGCTCTCAGCCTAGGCTGATTTACACATGAAAGGAACCCTCTGAGGGGCTCTCTCCCTTTCACATTCACAACCAGGCAGGACCTATAAATAAAACCTTTCTGAAAACAGGGGCTTTCAAAAAGGTCTGTGTATGTGCACAAATGTGTATGAGAGAAGGGCAGTGGCTGTGTGCACTCGAGGATGTGTGTTTGCATGAGAAGAATGTGCATTCAGACATCAGCCCCCCTGCGAACAAGTGCCCTCAGAAAAGTATCTGCAGGGACGCAGGAGTGTGCACAGGTACTGGGAGCACTCACAGGAGCCACAGGGCATGTCCAGGCTGGTTTCCAGCCAGCACAGTCCCAGGGGTTCACCCAAGTCAGCTGAGTCACTCTGGAGTTACACATGGAAAAAAAGGGAGCCGATGAGAGCACGGGTGTGATGCACTTTCCCTCCACAAAGCAGTAAAGTACTTGCAGAACAAACACCAGTGGTTTGCACTGCTTTGGCTATAACGTCGGAGGTAATAGAGAATCAGGTCTCAGGGCATGTGTTCCTATGGTTTTGACAGAAGGTGAGATTTTTAAATGGCTGCATCTTCTCAGCTGCCCAGGAGAAGGAGAAAAGTGTTGCATTTTCCAGGGCGGTCATTGTTCAAAAGTAAATTTTGATTTTCTGGAACACAAAACCCCTCAAAGTTTGAAAGATAAACACTGAGACTGACACCATGAAAATGAAGGTCAGAAAATCAAAAGAACTGTAACTGCCTTTACATAAGCAGTTGTAAACACAGAAATGCCTAGATATGGATCCGTAACTGTCCCTCCCCCACTGTCCACTTCATCCCTGTGGCTGCACAGTCAGGATATCTCCCCTTCCATGAGGCCTAAGGAGGACCCTACACAACTTCCAGGAAGCTGGCAGTTAGTGTGACCCTGCCCTAATAAAAACCAGGTGAAATGGAGCCAACCAGGACAGACCACAGGGCTTCACAAAGCAGGTTCTGCTCTGCGGGTCTTTGCCCCTGTAAGAAGCAATTTTTGAAGACTTGGCTATACGTGATAATCTGAGAACTGCAAACTATTCCACCCCACTCCTTCTGACCAGCTGAATCATTTGCTTTACTGAAGCTGTGCCCGTGCCCTGTGCTAACACCAGCAGTCAGGGTGTACATGTGCTAGAATCACTGGAGCTGCTCCACTGATCGGTGGGAGACTCCAGGGGGTGAGAGAGGGGCAGGAGGGGTCCTGCACCCTACACCCTCCCGACTCCATCCCTGCTAATCGCAGCTCTCGGGTCTCTCCCCTCCCCAGTTCTTACACAAACATTCAGAAAAATCAGGCAGAAAAAAAAAAAAGGACAAAGCAGGAGACATAAGGAGTGCAAAGCCTCACAGGAGCGCACAAAGCACAAAATGTCTCTTCTACCCGTTCAAAAGACTCTTCCCAGCTCCTTGCACTAGGCAGGAGTGTGTGAGCAGGGATGCAGCGCTCCCCTCCCACTGAGATCGCAGCTAAAGCCCTCCCCCAGTTCCCAGGGTCTTCAAATAGAGATTTGCATAGTAGTTCCAGATCATTCCCTTGAGAAGGGACAATGGCTCTCTCAACGCCCTCTTTCCCCCCTCCCTCCCTCCCAAAGCTGATAAAGCCCTGGTGAAAAGGGGAACAAAGGATTTACAGATGTCAGAATATTGATTTCTGCTGTTCCAGGACTACAGGGAGAAGATGAAGGAAACTTTTGGCCCCAGAAACTCTGTGAAGTTTGAGACACAGGCGCTATCTCTGCAGCACTTCTGTCTATCTCAGCGTTTGTTAAGACAGTATCTGATGGAGGGAACGTTTCTATTCGAGAGGGATGAGCCAGGCCCTGAAGACTTGAAAACGCAGAGGCGTAAGATTACAGTCTCCAATCCCAGTGAGCGCATTTGTTGTTCCCAGACCTGCTGAACGGAGAGGCGCTTCCAGTGAAAGCAGTTTGCCACCAGGCGGCCCGGGCCGACATTGCTCCGAGCTCCTGGGATCCATCCCATCCCATCTCATCGGTGGCTCCTGCTGTTATCCGTGCCCTCCTCTCTGCTACCCACCACTTCAGCTGGGAAAAAAAAAAAAAAAAAAAAAGGCATTTCTGTGCCCAGTCCATAGAAACCCGAGCTCGCTTTTGTGCCACAAACATTCTTTTTCAGTGCAGTGAGTCAAGTTCACCTGTACTGAGCTCCAGCTCTATCAGCTCACTGCAATCATTAAAATTTTGCTAAACTGAACAGTGACATGATCCAAAGTGTCACATGTCACTGCTGCATATCCAGCAGGAGACAGATCCTGGGCAGCCAAGTCAGGTTAGGGGAGTTCTGGCCTGACCTCCACCTGTCCCACCACTACACTGAAATTGCTTCCTCTAAGTGTCTGGCTACCAGCACTTTATAGACATATATATATATATTTATTTTCATTCTCAGGGCTAATTCTGTAGCATTTATGCACTCAAAGGGCTCCCAGGATACTGGATCTTTTGGGAAAATGTATGTGTTGAAACTTGCTCAAAATGCTGGATTTAGGCCCAGGTTTTTCAAGACAGTAAGAGTGTCTGAATCAAGCTCAAGGCCCTCAGAGAGGTCAGTTTTGGGAAAACGTCCCCTTTCTGTGAGGCAGAAGAGCACAGCAGTGAGTACAACTGAGGGTTCCCATGCCATGGGTCAATAATCCAGACAGAGCTGCAGAGCCAGAGCTGACTTTTCACTCATTTTCCCCACACCTTTGTAAAAACAAGTGCTGTCAGGAGGACTGCAATCATCACAGTGATAATAACCATCACATATTGCACTGTTAAACTTACTTCATACAACCACGTCAAAACATTATTCACAATACTCTTCTTAAAATACCCAGGTTTCCTCAAATAGCCTGCTTGTCTTCCCTCAGCTAGAAGGAATTATTCACATGGAATCTTTTGTGTCTCCCAGCAGCCACTCCTAATTTATACTACATTTGAATAAGATGTGAATCAGACCCAGTAGAGTCCTGATACACCTCATACAGAGATTATTGCAGCTGTTGGGATGATAAAGACTAAGACACACCCACTTTAAACCAGTGTCACTCAGACTGTAACAAAAGTGCCATCACACTCAGGTTCAGGACAGACTAAACCCCATTTTCAGTCACTCTCCAGGAGCCTCTTGCAGCTCCGTGGGTAGAAGTGCTCACAAAGGAGCATCTTGAACAGCTGTGCTAAGAGAACTTTTCCTCATCCTAAACAGAAGTTTGCTTGTTTTGCTGATCCTTTGTTTTCTCTCATTTGTAAACATTAGTGTCTGTTGGATACTTAAAAGTTTTTTTGCTACATATAAAAGTAGTTTTGTTTACATAGCTCCTGCTACAAGTTTGCTTTTGGATACAGAACTTAATCTTGGTTTCATCACTGAAAAATTGTACAAAATAATTCTCGGATATTCTGTTCCCTTCAAAAAACCACATGTAAATTCCTTTTAAATTAAAAGCCTGATATTAGACATCTCATAAACCTGAATCCAAAGGACGAAGGTGGGGAAAGGCAAAATCTACCTCCAGTGTGGATTTAGCAAAGCAGGTGTGCACGCACATGGTGAGCTGAAATGATTTGAGGGCTGTCCTGTACAAAATGTATCATACCAGTGAAGACAGAGGAACAGTTCTGTAGGTACACACAGTGCCATCTGGGAATAACTTCTCCTTTCAGTATGGAAGCAAAACTGTTCTTAAAATTGCTTATTAAAAATTGGACACAAGTGATAACGTCTGGTCTGAGAAGTCCCTTCCCAAAAGCTCCATTTCTCTGCTTTCCCACTGTTATAATCTTTACACCCACTATGGGAATCCTCTCATTTTACTGTGGGGTTTTAAGTGCTGGAAAATGTTCTCTCCGTTTACATGGCTTCTGCCAAAGGCCACCCAGCCAGCCACCAAGCTCCAATGAAGGACTAAAACAGGATCTAGATATTTGTAAATTAATTACGATGCTTTTTTCCCTTAAAGTCTTGTGTTTGTTCAAGTGATGTTATTATTTCTGTGGAATTATCCCAGGAATATAAATAATCAAAAACACATTAGTGGTAACAGAACTGCCCCGTTCCAGGGGCCCTTTGATCCCTTCACGCCTGGGACATCCCTACAGCGCCTCTCTAAACTATTTATTGTTCTCTTCAATTACCTGGGGGGGTCGGTCTCTTCTCCCAGAAAACTCAAGACAAGAAGACACAGTCTCAAGCTGTGCCAGGGGAGGATGAGGTTGGACATTAGGGAGAATTTCTTCACAGAAAGGACGATTAGACATCGGAACGGGCTGCACAGGTGGGGTCACCGTCCCTGAGGTGTCAAGACTGGACGTGGCACTGAGCGCCCTGCTCTGGCTGGCACGGTGGTGTTGCATCGCAGGTTGGGCTAGATGACCCTAGAGATCATTTCCAACCCAGACGATTGTGTCACGCCGTGTTTCTGTGTCCGAATGACGCCGTAACCCTCTGGCACCGCTCCCGGTCACCGCCCCGCCCTCAGCCCCGAAATGGCGCCGGCCCCGCCCTCAGCACAGCCCGCCCCTCAGCACAGCCCTCCCTCAGCACAGCCCGCCCTCAGCACAGCCCTCCCTCAGCACAGCCCGCCCCTCAGCACAGCCCGCCCTCAGTACCGTGCCCGGCTCAAGGTCGGCGGGGCCGGCCTTGGTTCCCCGTTCCGGTTCCGGGGAGCGGTCGCGTAGGACATGGCGGCGCTGGTGAGGGTGTCCCGGGCGCTGCTCGGCGCCGCCGGCCCGCTCTCCCCGTCCCGGCGGGGCATGGCGGCCGCGGCACACGAGGGCGGCGGAGGTAACGGGGCCGTGCGGGGCGAGGCGGGGGCCGGGGCCGGGGCCGGGGCCGGGGCCGCGCTGCCCTTGAGCGGCCGCTGCCCTTCGCCGCGGGAGCGGGACAGGGCGGGCGCTCGGTGTGGGCCCCGCGGAGCGAGGGCGGCCTGGGGAGCGTCCGGTAGTGCCTCGTTAGCCAAATAATTGCGTCTGAGGCGCTCTGGGGCCGCTGGCGCTGATGGCAGCGCTGGTTGTTCTCCCGCTCAGCCAAGCTCTGGAGGATGTTGACCTTCGTGGTGGCGCTGCCCGGCGTGGCCGTGTGTATGTTGAACTGCTATCTGAAGGCGCAGCATGAGCACGAGAGGCCCGAGTTCGTGCCCTACACCCACCTCCGGATCAGGACCAAGGTACCGCTGCGCTGTTTGAAAGCCCTCTTTCCCTCGGGGCTGGGTATCTGTGCTCACTGCAGCACCTCTTGCTTTCCCATCTGCTCAGCGAGGTGCTGTGCATCCACAGCCGCGACCTCACCCCAGGGCTTTGTTTCTGAGGCAGTAAGAGAGCTTCTCACAGCTCTTCCCACCCCCGGGTGATCCTCCTAATGTCCTGCTGAAAAATGTTTCAGTCCTAAAACTGCTGTACTTAAACTAATACACAGCTTAAAGCTAATAGAGGACATCCCAGATTCTCAAAACTGCAGTCCTCGTATTTTCCTACAGGACACGGTGCAGGAGGAAAAGGGTTTGACTGCCTGAGTGTTAATACCTGTTTTTGTGTCTCATAACACAACAGTAGATGTTTAACCAAGAGCAAAGATCTTGCTGTTCAGAGACTGTGGCTCCCAGCTAAAGGAGAGTTTTCCAACCCTTGCTTCCTGCAGCCTGGGAACAGATGCCAGCTTGCTTAATTCACCAGCCTGTTAAGCTGTGTGATACACCACGTTATCAGCTAGACCATGGCACTGAGTACTGTGTCCAGTCTATCCTTAGACACATCCAGGGATGGTAGCTCCACCTCCCTGGGCAGTCTATCCCAATGTTTAACAACTCTTTCCATGAGGAAGTTTCTCCTGATGTCCAGTCTGAACCTCCCCTGGCACATGTTTGAGTCTGGACTGCTGTTTATTTCTGGTGATGTACAGATTGTTCAGGAGCTGTCACTGGTTTATTTCCTCTCTTCTTTCAACAGCCTTTCCCCTGGGGTGATGGGAACAAGACTCTGTTTCACAACCCCCATGTTAACGCTCTCCCAACCGGTTATGAAGATTAAAGGTCCTGACTAGACAGCCAGAACTTTGGCTCTCCCCATCTTGAAGCAGCATGTTGAGTGGAAACCATCGTTTCTGGGGTCATAATTTCACAAACTCTCCATTTGAGATGAAGCTGAGAAGTGTTAGTGGCTTCTGTGTGTACTTCTGATGAGGTCCTTTAAATAAACAACTCTGAACACGAATTTAAGATTTGACTGGGTTTTTTTACATCTGAATCCTTAGAAGTTCTTCAGTGTTTGCTTAAAACATGGAGGCTTCCTCTAGGACACAGTGCAGGAGGAAAGGGGTTTGACTATCTGAACATTAATACCTGTTCCTGTGTCTGGTAACAGGAACACATTTGGCATGGGACATGACTCAGTGTCATGTTCTTAATGTCTGTTTTAACTCACAGCTGCAAACCCACAGCCAGAACAGGTATGTAGATTAAAATTCAGTATATACTGAAGCACATTCTCCATAATCAGCTATTGTAGTATTTATTCACAGACATAAAGGTGATTCTTCTCTTGGTCCCTTCTGGCAGAGGGAGTGGCAGCAAAAGGTGTTAAGTAAGCTCTGTGTGCCTTCACAACATTCCCCCTCAGCTCTCAAATTTTCAGGTGTATCAGTACATATCTTGCTCACAACTCTGCTTTCCATAAAGCTGCAGTCTGGTGGTTTGAAGTCACTCACACAGGTCTTGCAAAAGAAAACACAATTTTAGGCCCCACTGCACATACTTTTATAATGTGTATTGTGTCATGCAAAAACTGCTTAACCTACAGGGGATGAATGACCTTCCACAGCCAACAGCCTGAGTCTGTGCCAGCACATTCTCTTTGGAGTTTCTCCTTGCTGCAAGTCAACTGTTTTCCAATTCTTTCTGCAACTTTTCTGTTTTTTGCATGGTACAAAACTGAGCTCTTGTCTCAGCTGTCGTTTATCCTGCTCTTCTCAAAAGGAAGAATGCAGCAGCTGCCTTAGCATCTTGCTGTTGAAAGGAGTGACGGATGGGAAGAGAGAGTCCCTAGGTGGGTGCTGCAGGACATCCTTCCTCATGTTTCAATGCAATTTATTTCATCTGCTTACAGTAAAACGACTTCTGAAGACAAGTTTTTCTGTGTTAAAAGCACAGAACAAGGCACAGTTGTTTAAAAGCTGACAAAAATCACGCTACATTTAGCCCTACACGAAGGATCATAGAAAAGCAAACTGGTTGTGTTATTCCTTAAAAAAACAAAAACTACGTACCCAACAGTCCCCAAAATGCTATTTATAGATCTTTCCCTTAGCTCACTGTTTTTTTATTTATACCTGAGTGACCCAGCAGTTTGTCAACTGCTTGTTTTTTCAGGGCTACATTTAACCCCTGTGCTGACACTCTAGGAGCTCCTGTGCACCTGGGGACAGGAGTGTGGCTCACCCAGGTATGTGACTGACAGGCTGCAGCAGTTCCTGTTCTGCGCAAGGCCCAGATGACTCAGTGTCTGGGCCAGGTTTAAAGTTTGAGAACTGCACCTTTTCAGAGTTTTTTTAAAGGAAAACATCTGAATAATCCACGAGGTAGTGATTAAAAGCAATGAGTGTAAAGCTCTTTTTTTTCCCCTCACTGTAATTCCAGGATAATTAGGAGGTTGACTTCTCTTTTGTCCCCAGGCCATAATATTCTTTACTCCTTCACCTCTGTTGGTGTAAGGAGAAGGTCCAGCTTTTCCCCATCCCTGTGTGAGGATCATGCCATGGGAATGTAATGCTAAAGGAGAGAGAATTCAAGTTCATGGTTGGGTCACTGCCTCAGAAAAGGATCCTCTTCGGCTCCTGAGCAGGCCACCTTCATCCCTCCTAGAGGCCACAATCAGATTCTACTGAACAGTTCTGAACTTCAACAAAATATAACCTGGTTATATTTATTTTAGCCAAGCTGTTGAAGGCCCATTAGTGCTTTTAGACCATCTCTGTTGCAAACAGGAAATAATGCTTTAGCCCCTCAACATTCAGGATGACATGAAACAAACTTCTTCCACCAAAATTCAGCAGCATAGAGAGGGGACAAGGTAAATCAACCCTCTTCATATTTTTAAACACTTTCAAGTGTTATATAAATTAGCAAAAGGAACCAATCACAAAGAAATTAACTCAGCTCACTCCAATCACCATTCCCCCGTTACAGAGTACATTCAACAGGAAGTTAGGTCACATGGACTTTTAAGCTGTTAGGTGCTGAACCACCACCAAAATTCACTGGAAAAGAGGCAGCAGTTACCACATGATCCAGTCTTTCGGGTTTTTTCTTTTAGCTGTTTGTTTTCACAAGCAGAGAAGATTCCTCGCTTCCTAGAAAGCAGTTAACAAAGATCTAAAGGTCTTATCCAGGTGGCACCTAGTGGTACACCTGGTGATGGTGCTTAGTCCAAAGGCTCCTATCAGTGATTCCACCCACACAGCCAAGGTCAAGAGGAGTTTTCAGTTTTTCCTTTGCTCGGGCCCATGAACTCCAGGCCCTCGATGGGTATGTCCTTTTCCTTGATTGCTTTCTGAAAAGGAAGGACAACAAAACCAGAAAATCACACTTGACATGTCTTTATAGTGCTACGTGATGTCATCTTTGGTGCAAAACACAGAATCACAGAATCAGTGACGTCGGAAAAGACCTCTGAGATCAATCTGTGCCTCAACATCACCGTGTTAATCAGACCACAGCACTGAGTGTGTCCAGTCTCTCCTTAAACACCTCCAGGGGCGGGGACTCCACCACCTCCCTGTGCAGCCCGTCCCAATGTCTAATCACCCTTTCCGTGAAGAAATTTGAGCCGATGTCCAACCTAACCCTTCCCTGGCACCATTTAAGACCGCCTTCTCTCATCCTATCCCTCCACGCCGCGACCGACAGGCACAGGGCGAGGCCAACCCGGCGGGGCTGCTTTGGTGGAAGCGGCAGCAGCTCGGGGCGGGGAGCTCGGGGGCCGGACCCACCTGCACGCAGAGCTGGTACCGCTTGAAGAGCTGCCCGCAGGGGTCGCCGGCGCTGTCGCCCTTGAGGAACTTCTCGGCGAACCAGCGGTTGAAGCACTGGTCGTACTCGCGCTTGAGCTCCGTGCACGCCTCGCCCACGCTGTTCATGGCGGCGGCCCCGCCGGGCCGGCCCGGGCCGCCCCGTGACGCGCGTCCGGCGCGCGGGGGGTGACGTCACGCCCCACGGCGCGGGAGGGGGAGCGGGGCGATGCGGGCCCTGTCGCTGTCGCGATCGCTGTCGCGGGCGCTGTCTCTGTCGCTGTCGGTCCGCGCCTGGAGGGTCCCCCCGCGGCGGCACAGCGGGCACGGCGCGCAGCGGCCCCCGCCGCAGGTACCGCGACGCCTCGCGGGGCGGGAGGGACGAGCACCGAGTTACCTTCTCAAAGTTCCCCGGGCGAGCAGCGCAACCCGGCGTGTCCCGGCCCTGTCTGTACGGGGACGGTTGGGTCTGATGGTGTCAGCGGGCTTTTGCAGTCTTAACGGTTCTGCGGTTCTTTGTCATGTCGGGTTTTGCCGTGGAACGGGTTTTTAGTTAAAAAAAGAAAAGAAAAGAAAAGAAAAGAAAAGAAAAGAAAAGAAAAGAAAAGAAAAGAAAAGAAAAGAAAAGAAAAGAAAAGAAGAAATAGCACTATTAAACTTGCTCACCTTTGCCTTTTTTTGTCCCGATTTGACAGCAAAAAGTGTCGGTGGAAGTGCTGGACCACCTGGAGCACCTGGCCCTGGTGGATTTCCGTGACTCGGAGGGTGTGGAGCGGCTGCAGAAGGCAATCGAGTTTGCTGATCAGCTTCATGAAGTGAACACCGACGGCGTGGAACCCATGGATTCAGTCCTGGAGGACAGGTGATGGATCGCAGCAGCCTCCTTTTATCTCTTAACGTATCAAACTGTTTGTTTTTGTGACCTTTTTTCCCTGAGAATCACCCTTTGCTTACAGAAATGGCCCCTTTGGTTACAGACATGTCTTGTCATGGTTGTGTGTGGGAGAAAGATGCCACTGGCCCATGTGATCCTCACCTGTGACCACAGCAAAGGTGAACTTCAGCTCCTCAGTCTGTGTTGTCAAGATTGGTCTGCACAGGCTGCTCCCCAGGCATCTGTCAGTGGCATTCTTGGGTGCTTCAAAATTCTCTAGTACTTGTCTCAGTGCTTACTTGGGACCAAAACCAGGTTTAGAGAGAAGCTACCCTTCCTACTTCATAAAATAGGTCTAAACACAACTACTAATCTGTGTTCCTCAGGTGTCTGTACCTCAGAGAAGATGATGTGACAGAAGGCAACTGCACCAAAGAGCTGCTGGAAAACGCCAGAGAGAAAGTAGAGGAGTATTTTGTAGCCCCACCAGGTAATGACTTGTTTGTAAGAACCTCTTAATCTCGCTTGAATTAACCAGAGGAATATAACCTGCCATAGCTGCATTTACTTTCAGAAATCCTAGCTAATAATAGGGAAGTACTAAGATAAATGTAGCCATCTGTGTAACACTGTGCAATTTACTGGTCCAAAAGCAGTACAGAGGCTGATCTGGCTGAAGTCAGTGCACTTGTTGAGTGATTCTCTGCAGGAACTCAGACAGGGTTTACTTTCCTGAGTTGCTCAGGGAATTTAAGCTGAACATGCTTAGAATAAACCAGAGAAGCACTCTGGTGCCAAGTTGTACAATCCAGAAGATAACCTACTGCAGGTCTCGTAAAACTTCCTTTTTGTTTTCCCTTAGGTAACATCCCTTTACCAAAGCTGGAGGAACGAGACACTTTTCTGCAAGGCTCTTAGTGACAGCCCAGAGCCCAAACACCCTTCCACTGTTTTATCTGGGAAAATGAAGTTTTGTGCCATCACAACTGAAATACCCTGGCCTGTATTTTGGTCAAAAGAAGAGCACTTGCAAGACAACCTACAGAAGAGGGAAGGTGTAAAAATTTAGTAACACTACTGAAATACTCAGTGTCTGTGGAGCTGGAAGGCAGGTGACCTTAGTGCTTTTGTTTAGCAAAATTAATTTCACCTTATTCTTGAAGATACCAAGTGGCTTAAAGGCTTTAAAGGGAACATTGAAAGGTAATGATTAAAAAAAAAAACAACACACAAACATTTTTCCTCAACAACTTTGTTGGAGAAACGAGAGGTTGGAAGGCTCTATTTTTGTATTTCCCATCTGTAGCTCAACTCTGGCTCTGACCTGTCAGAATTAACAAAGTCTGGTGTGGAGGAGGAGTCTGTAACATTGCTGAGTATCTCTGTGACATATGGACAGAACTCAGGGTTCCATTATTGGAGAAAAGGCACTTTGAGAAGATGAATCAAATATTTTGCTTGCACTGAATTATTTCTACTTTATTTCTGTTCTTCATGTCTGTCTGGGTTACCTTCTATTTCCCACTTTGTATTTTTATCCTCGTAAATTAAATAACTGGAATTGTACATAATTTGAGAAAGTACTTTTCAAACACAAAAATATGTGTTCTAAAATAGAAGGTGGTTGCAAAGAAGTATCACAGCTCCAAGAACAAAATTAACCCCACTGACTCTTACTGGAGAGGCCAGGAGACCATCACAGGAGGAGGTGCAGATAGTCCAGACCACTCACTTTCAGGCCATGAGGAGCACTGTAAAAGGCTGAAAAACAAACTTTTTTTTTTCCTAGGTGGTGCCCTGTCCACATTCAGACTTAATAATCCATAATTATTTATTCCAGTTGTAACTCCGTGCACGAAAAGAGAACATACGGAATTTATCAGCTGGGAAAGGCTGAAAAATCACCAGTTCTGAGTCTGCTCCTGTGGCTCATGAGAGCCCGACAGGAGAAGGAAAGTGGCTCCTCCATGGCTGTGCAGGCACACGTTTCCCCTGGGGGCAGAAACTCACCTCATGATCTCATAAGTTGATGTCACCCAGCTTACACAGTGCATGTTCTGTATCTTCTTGCAGAGAAAAGCCATTACTCCCATTCCATCTCGCTGTCCATCTGCATAACAAACCCCACCAGCTCTGTGCTGTGTGTCCCTTCAGCTCCTGCCAGCTGTGACAGGGGATGTCCTGAGCAGGGACCTGCATCTTCCACGTCCCTGCAAACAGCAGACAATATACATTAGAGATTAATGATACATGTGCCTTGTTTCTTAACATCTCAAAAGTCCACCAAGCATAATACAAGCATCGTAATTTGAAAAACACTAAAAAAAAAAAAAAAAAAAAACATTAGGCCTTTGAATAATACTGGGACTAGGTTGAGCCATCGGTGGCTGGTTCTTAAGGTGGTCAAACTGCTTTGCTCTTTGTTATGTGCCGTGTATTTAATGGAAGACCTTGGCTGAGCTGGCTTTGCTGGTGTAAGAAATCACAGCTACTGGGTAGGATCCACTTTCACTTGCTGCCCTCAAGGGTTGCATGTCTGGTAAGGTTTGAACTGTTTTTTTTCTGAAACTGATGTTTCCCCCCCAGATTTTCCTGTCAGGAAGTGAAAGCAAACACTTGTCCCTCTCTTACTTGTGCAGTTACTTTGTTATTTGTTTAAGCTTCCATAATATGCACACAAACACATATTTGCATATGCATAAAACATGTAATTACTATGATACCCGAGTTCTTTCAAGGGTATTGAAGTAAAGCCTGTATTTAAACCCCAGTAATCAAGTCCTCTGCAAAGCTGTAGTGCTGTATTAGTGTTTTAGTCTTGGGCTTTCCGAAGATTCAGACTCTGCAAATGTTGAAGTTTTACAAATGTACAAGCTCAGCCTAAAAGTAATTTAGGATGTGTATGTAAATCACGACAAGGAAAGACATACTGCAGTCATGTTAGCAGATAATTCCCATTTTGAGAAATTCCACCTTGTTCTATTCATTTTGGCCTCCTCTTTTTGACCATCAGAGAGAATGAGGACAATATTATTTCCATAGAAAAAGGAAGAGGAATTTGAGAGTGAACTGCATGGCTGCAGGAGCTTCCAACCCAAAATAGCATCAGGTAACTATTTAAAAGCAACAACCAAACCAACAATTTGGATAACATGATCCCACATTCCCAATGCTAAACTTAAAACTGCCAGTTCAGTGCTGCTCCCACACACTCCAGGGAGAGAACAGATTGCCTGCTGCTTGTTCCCCACAGCCCAAACTGCATCTGAAGTGGAAAACACACATTTCCCTAATGAAGGGGTTTGCTGCAGCCTCACCACTAATGAGGGAATTACAGCCCTGACTCAGACACCTGCAACCACCAAAACAGAAATGCTGGCAGGGGCTGGATGAGCTGCCCGTGGGGCAGAACATGGCAGTGCCTCAGCCTGCCCTTGGCAGGTCTGATGTGGTGGGTGCTGAGCCCCCCAGGATGGTGCTGAGCCCCACAAGGCCCTGAGGGGGAGGTAAAGGCACCCATCATGTGCTGGTTTACCTGCTCTCACTGCAGGGCCCCAACCTACAAGTGGAGCAAATGTTTCCTCTGGAGATCATGGAGAGAACTTGACTCAGACCTGCCAAGATTTTTCCACCCCTATAAACCTGTAGATATAAAATTGGATTAGAAGCTCTCACGTACGAATTCCAGGTTTACAAAGAAAATGTCAGTGTGGAGACTTCTTCGCTTTTAGAGAAAGAAGATGGTAGTTATTTTATTGCTAATAATGATCATTCTATGTTTTGATAGTAACTGGAAGCCCTGGAAAAAATCCCTATTAATACAGTGGTATGGTGTGCAACAAAGAGCAAACAAATACTTCTCCTGCAAAGTGCTTACAATCTAACCTCCATCTGCAAGAGGAATCTCATGATATGCCTTATCCAGTTTCCTTCAGCACCTCCTCTACCCCAGCTATCATCTCCTGTGTGTATTTGTTCTGCCTTCCCCTGCAGCTCTGTCCTGGGGGAAACTATACTTTTATATTCCTGATTAACAAGTAGGGCTCTAATGCCTCTCTTTAAATCCCTGTATCTTGGGCTTTAATGTTGCTCATTAATGACATGTATCTCACCCACACTGACATTCCTGCAGTCGTCATCACATCTGTCCCCTCAGCCAACCATTTCTTAATAAATGCACAGAGATTTGCCTGCAGCTACCAAACACAAGCGCCTCCTCAGAGACTCATGGGTGTTTCTGAAGTTTAGAGTAAGCACTGGGAAGATTGTTAAATGGTTCAGTTCTGTCAGCACAAAATTGTCCAGTACTGGAAGAACCACTGCAAGTGCTGCAGATACCAAAGGCTGTTCTGTAAAGTGTAATTACTTGCTGTGGCCCCAAGACCATTCAGAGCTTCTTCACGTTGCTAGCACACAAGCAAAGCTGTGAATTGCATCTCTCCTAATTGGAATGCTACAACCTGGGAGCCAGAAGTTATTCCAGAGTGACAAAAGTATTACATGATCCAGTTTCAATATTTTTGGGGGCAGTATATTTTTCTGAGGTTGTCTCAGAGCTGGCAAAAGCAAAGGGTTGCTTGCAGTTATGCTGCTTTTGCTCTGAATGACACTGAGCCAGCAACTACACTGTACTAGTATGAAAAAATGTTGGTATTTCAGGTGAGGTGGATGACTGCTCTTGAGGGTACAAGGAAATGGGAGTCCTACCAACCAGTATGTGAAAATCTCTTCTAAGTCATCCTGTGCTGTTTGCTATGGAGGTGGTTCCTGTTGTTAACAGATCACCAGCTCTGGAAGACTCAACAGTGATGTTTTATCTGCTGACAAGAGCAAAAGTAGAAAGTGCCCCAGGGAGAGTGAAACTAACTAAACAGAGCACCAAGGATCTCCCAAAACATCTTGCTTCACTTCAACAAATGAACAAAAAAAAAAAAACCCAAACGCAACCAAGCAAAACAAAAACCAAATACAAACAAACAAAATATGGCAAGAGTTGCAAGAAACGGTGAGGTCTGCAAAAGATTCCATAAGAGAGACTTGAGAAGTCTGATAGGTTCAGTTCACTGCAGGAACAAAGTCTGAAGCTGACCCGATCACACTCAGTAAACATAGGTAAGAGATTTCTCTCAAAGGTATCTTATTCTGAACTGAAAACACCTGAAAACAGTCACATGATTAGGACGTGGTCAGAACAGGACAGATGATCAAGTGCCATTTACAAGCTATGGAACTCCTTCCTTTGGCAGGGGTGGGCTTTGCTCTCAGTAAAGGCATATTACTGAAAAAGCTATCCCAGAGAATATCCCAGTATTATTTCAGTAATATCCCATTTTACTGAAAGAGCTTTTCCCAACAAGAGCTTGTTTCAAAGAGAAACCAAGTCTGTTGCAGAGATTACTGGGTTAAACTCAGTGTCTCTGTGATCCAGGCTGGGGCAAGTAATAAAATAGCTTTTGGGGTGCACATATCAGAAATGAAAAGGTGCTTTACTGAAGCTGATGGACACATTACAATGCCTTGGAGGCTGAGGGTACTTCAAGGAACAAGTTTTTGCACAGAATCACCAGACGATGCCAGAGAGAATCACAGAATCAATGAGGTTGGAAAAGACCTCTGAGATCATCGAGTCCAACCTGTGACCCAACACCACGGTGTCAGCTAGACCAGGGCGCTCAGAGCCGCGTCCAGTCTTTCCTTGAACATCTCCAGGGACGGCGACTCCACCACCACCCTGTGCAGCCCGCTCCAGTGTTTAATCACCCTTTCTGTGAAGAAACCGTCCAACCTCAACGTGCCCTGGCGCAGCAGAGGAGTAGCACGGGAGGCAGGACCGGAGCCGTTCCGTTCAGAGCCCAAGCCAGGCGCCCATGCAGCGGGTGCGGGCCGTGAGGGGACATTCCCACCCCCCCCATCACCCCGCGGTCGCCATGGCAACGGACGCGGCGCGGGGCATCCCGGGCCGCAAGACAACGCCGGGGTAAAGCCCTGCCGGGCGCCGCGCTACGGCCAATGGGCGCTCGGGGGCCGGCGGCGGTGACCAACGGCTGGCCAATGGGCACGGAGGGGGCGGGGCCAGGGCGCTCTGAGGCGCGCACGGCCCAGAGCGCAGCGGTACCTGTTCCGCGCCCGCCCCGCATCGCCCAGCGGTGAGTGACGGGCTGCGCTCCCGGGGACGCTCGGCCACCCCCGTGCACCGGCGGCTCCCCCGGGCCCGGGCTCTGCCCCATTCGCCGGCTCCGCTTTCCGCGCATCCCCCGCTCTGCCGGAGGGATCCTTCCCTTGCAGCCGCGCGGGGCTCCGAGCCCTCCGAGCCGGGCTTGGGTCGCCTCCCTCGGCGGGGAAAGGCCGTCGGGACCGGGCGATGGAGCGGCCGCGCTGGGCTGGGGAAGGGCTGGAGCGGGGCTGGGGTTTGTGTGGGTCCGGCTGGAGAGCGGGTGCTGAGCGGGACGCGGCGTTTCAGCCGCCGCTGCTCGGGCTGTGCCCGGGGCTGTGCCCGTGCCCGGCACAGCCGGCAAAGCGCTGCCCGGCCCCGGGAGCTCGCTGGGAGTGACGGTACAGGGGACTCTGGCAGGTGCTCCTGCAACTTTGAATTCTCCTTCTCTTCTCCCAAAGCAGGCAATCATGAGCGATCGGAAGGCAGTGATCAAAAATGCGGACATGTCAGAGGAAATGCAACAGGACTCGGTGGAATGTGCTACTCAGGCCTTGGAGAAATACAACATCGAGAAGGACATCGCTGCTCACATAAAGAAGGTAAATGTTGCCTTGTAATGTGCTCATGAAAAATCAATCAGGGAGAAAGCTGCTGGGCAAGTCGCTCTAGAGAAACAAGCTCCAGACACACTAGATAATCAAGTTGGACTTTCTCTCTTTATGTTCCTTTCCCCACCCTTTATGTGGACCTTTTTAGGTCCTTCTGCATTTCTCTGGTAGTACCTTATGCCTTTTCTGCCACTGTGCCATTGTCCAGGTGAGCAGAGTGGCAGCTGACTGTCCCTGTGACTGATGAGCTGGTACAAAACACGGGCTCTATCTGGAGCCTGTTTGAGGAGGGGTGGTTTGCCGACCACGTAATAAGTGGTTTTGTTTTTTGCCCTTTCCCCCCATATGTAAGACAAGCTGTTCATGCGAGCGCTGAACAGATGGTTCATAGCTTACAGTTTGTCACATTTTTTTCTCTTGACTCCTACTGGGAGCCTGACTGAGCTGCAAGTAGTTGAAGGGTTTGTTTGAGCAGAACAGCAACCTCTTCCGTGTTCTCAGAAAAACCTCTTCAGCTGATGGCTGTTAGGTACTGCACTATATAACCACTGACTGCACGGGATTACTCACAGTACACCCGTACACAGGAGTGTATTTGTAAGTTGTAGCAGGCTCTTGATGACAGTGTCAGAAGAATATGGTCTCATGACCAGATATCAGGGATGTGGCAGAGAATTTCCCAGCAAGTGTCCTTTCAGCATCCTTATTGTAAACAGCTGATGAAAGTCAAAATAGTGGTTTCATCTGAGCAGTGAGCTCTTAGAAGTTATGGTTTGAGATCATGGCGTGACTTCGGGGGCAAAGTTACTTCCCCAAATGTATGCTTTAAGCTTATTCCTGCTCTGCTTGGAAGCACTTTTTTTTTTTGGTATGACTAAGCAGCAGATGAGTTATAAAGTGACAGATGATCCTTGCGCTTAGGAGCATATGCTGCTCCTTAATTGCCTCCTTCCAAAAGCGATACTTGTTAACAAACGACTATCATTGAAAAAAAAAAAAAACACGAGAAAACCTGTTAGACAATATTAGTATAATTACCATGAAAATGCTGAGTTTCTAGTTCTCTCTTCTGTAGGAATTTGACAAGAAATACAATCCCACGTGGCACTGCATCGTGGGAAGGAACTTTGGCAGCTATGTGACTCACGAGACCAAGCACTTCATCTACTTCTACCTCGGCCAAGTTGCTATTCTTCTTTTCAAGTCTGGTTAGAATCACGGACTGTTACTAACACTTGCACCTGGGTACAGGATCTGCACAGTGACTCCCACCTTCAGCCTTCCTGGGGAAACAGGCCTTGATCTCCAGGTCTTTTGTTGTATTGTTAATGGTCAGGGATTTTGCTGTAGCAGCTGGTATTTTCATTGTGGCTATATAAAAAAGCAAAAATGTCTTCCTTGTATTTATTTTCTTTCAAAAGACTGCTTCTTTGCTAATAAAACTGTTGGAACTAGTTTATCCTTTAAGAGTTTTCTGTACCCTCTGTCCTCTGGCATTACCCTCTTTATTGCAGTGTGAATGAAGGATGGACATCCCCACCCCTATTCCCACCCCACAGCCCCCCAATCCATAATTTCTTAGGCAACCTTCTTACAAAAGATTGATTTAAGTGGAAAAGAGTTGATGCAGAGCCCTTTTATTTCCCAAGCCTTTCATTTGCCTTTGAAAGAAGTAAAGGAGTCATGGGAAAACATCCTTAAACTCCACATAAAAGAGATAATAACAGCTTCATAAAAATCCATAGTTACTTCATAAATCCAAGTTCTCATGGGTATATCCTCCTTGAAGCTTAGTAAAAAATAAAAGGCATCTTCTTGGAAGACTAGTCAGCCTATTTCTGTGTCCAACACGCAGTAGCAACTGATGTTGCTTTACTGGTTAGCACTGCTCAGTTCTGGCCGTGTCCTTTACATTGCACTTGAAGGGAAATGCAAGTGTAAGAAATGCCACAGGACTCGCTCCTTCCGCAGGTTTCCTGAAGGAAAAAAGGTAGTTGGTGTTCAGGGTCTGGCTGCTGAGCAAGTATCTGCTGCTCAAGTTCTCAACGCTCCTCTTCAATCCTCATACTGTTAAAATTCCACAGCTTTCACATTCCTTGTGAAAATTACACCTCCTGTGTTTTGCTACATAGTAGACTCACAGTTTGAAACCCGAGTGAATGGCCACAATGCCAAAGTTTAAATTCTCATAATCCACTTTGAAAAAACCTGCATCTTCTATCATTGCCTTCAGCTCCTCCTGAAAAAGAAGTGCCATCATTTTAACAACTCGAAGGCCTGTGAGCCAGTGGCTGGAGGCTGTGCTGGGATCGTGTTTTATGTGTGAGTTCAGGGAAATCCTGTCTCACCTGAGGGGGGAACTGCCGGATGCTCTCCACCAGATACTGGTACGACTTCCAGTCACCAGCAATGACCTCACCCAGAACAGGGATAACCTGGAAACTGTAGAGATCATAGAGCCTGCACAGACAGACAACAAATGCAAATGAATACAAACAAGGTTAAAAACCAACCCTCTCCAACACGAGCTGGTCTCTGTACCACTATGCTATGCCGTCTGTATCTGATTTTAAAAGTGCACAAAGAAGTGGCCTCAAAGTGTCTCCATCTCTCATTGTGGCTGAGTACAAGAAAGAGAGCCTTGTGATGTGGCATGAAGTGCCACCGTGTTCTTACCTGGAAAGAAGAGGGTTGCTGACATGACTAAATTCAAGGCAGAGAAATCTTCCTCCTGGTTTCAGCACACGATAGGCCTCTTGAAGAGCCTGAGACAAAGCAGATGTGATAAGTTTGTTTCTGCCTGTTATCATGGCATGTGATATTATCGTGCAACTCTGATGAACTGAGGGAAGTAAAGAGTACCCTGACTGGCAGTCTGCAATATTTAATGTGGAGAAGCACCCCAAGACAAGTAAAAAAACCCAAACATACAACAAACACAAAGCACAAACAGTCTCAATGGTACATAAACAGATTTATACAAGGCTTTGTGTCAAAACTTGATGTTGGGTTGCCAATTTTTCTTTTTCCCTACTCCCAGTTGATGAATGTTTGTTGGCAGAGCTCTTGTAATTAGAGACCAAACCCAAAAGGGAGAAGGTGACTCACCTACAAGAAACTGAAAAAGAAAAAAGGGCGTGATAGATGTTTTTTTAAATCAAAAGATTTTACTGAGGCACACCCAAAAGATCAAAGAAGGAATGATACCGGGTTTTGGACAAGCAATGTGTAGGAACAGGAAGGAAGGAGAAGGAAGAAGAAAACCTCTGGCTACTTGGAAAATTCCACCCTATATACAAAACAAAATACCTAAGAAGAATCAAAACAAAATTTTCTTTACAACTGTGAGTTCCTTCATGCAGGAGCACAGCAGAGTTGTAGCCCAGAAGCTCTGCAGGTTGCTTGGCTTCAACTGTCCTGTTCCTAAGGAGGGGGGACACAAACAGTACACATACAGGACAGGAGCTCTGCAAAAGAATTGGCAGCTTGGATGTGTTTTGTATCGGGTCTCCAGGGAGCTCTGCCACCAGACTCCTGCATCCATGAAGGCAAAGAGCCTGTGCTTTGGAAAGGTGCACACAAAGCACCAGGAAAAGCCATCCACATTAACTTCCAAGGCATATGGTTCAAGGTGGTTACATCTTCCACAGAAGGAGCCTCGCCAAGGTTGTAACACACTCCTCCAGAACACACACAGCTAGTCCACCTAGACAGATGATCTAACCTATCTCCACCCCCACGACAGCTTGTCCTTCTCAAAGGACAGATATTGTTCACAACAAAGGGCATTACTTATCCTAATTAAAATCATACTTGTTCTGCATAGGAAGCTCTATCGCCAGCCAGTGTAAAGACACTGAGCAGAACAGGTTAGTTGACAGCAGTGGGGGCAGCTGTTTCCCGCTCTGCTCTGGAAGCTCTGCTGGCTCAGGCGGGGAAACAGAGAACAGGACTTGTTGGCCTCACGGCGGGTGGGATGTAGATCAGGTGATTCAGAAGATTTGAGACATGCAGATGGACTGCACTGTGCATGTGTAGATCCAGCCATGCCAGAGGTCAGGAGGAGGTGGGGAATGACTGCAGCATCCATCCCTTTTGCCTTAGGAAGAGATCGTGTGGCTTGTCAAGCTGGAAGGATTGGGTGCAACTGGTATAAATCTATCTTTTTATGGCAAAGGTGGGGCATTTAATTGCATTCCCCATTCAAACAAGTTGCACACCACATGCCACTTCTTTTAAATGTTTCAGGAGTAGACTATGATCTTCCTTTATACAAAGGAGTTCCTCCTTTTCTTCCTCTGCTGAATAAAAACCCCCTCAGATGAATGGTAAGGACCCCACATGAGAATACACTATAGCAACTTACCAAATCAATACGAGTTACGTTTCGGATTCCAAAGGCAATTGTGTAAACATCAAACTTATCATCATCAAAGGGCAACTCTTCAGCATTCCCAAGTACCCAGGACAAGCCTGTAGTAAAAGACAGGTTACAGAATTGAACTCAAGACTGCTCCAGAAAGAACGGAACTTACCTATCCTAGAAAAAATTGATTCTTTTAGAGGTGATATTTAAGACAAATGTTTTCATTTTGCATTTTTGTTTGAGGAAAGACACCCTGGCCTATACTCAGAAACCTTTCAAAACAGAGTAGTTATTTTGCAGGTGAGCCAAAACATTGTTCTGCATATACATCCATGTTGTGCTCACAGTGCCTTAGCATGCCAAAAAAAACTCACAAACTTGCGTCATAGTGGAAAGCATTGCTGGCTGCCATTTCTCTGTAGCAAAGTTGCAAAAAGACAATCTCTGCTTTAAAAGTAACTACCAGCAAATATTAATGTCTTGCCACGCAACAATGGCCAAAACTGTCAATGCATTTTGCTAGAAAACTTCCAAAGACTGAGGAACATGAAAAGCCGAACTCCCTCCACCAGCACCCTCACGATGTGATCCTGTTGCAGTTGTGTTCATTTCCAGCCCCTAAGGAATCCTGTCTATCGTGTCTAACCATGTTTATCTGTGGAGCATGGATGTCCAGGTTATTGGTACCAAAAATAAGACTCCTTAATTTAGAACTAATAGCTCTTAAAGTCACTAGTTTTGGAAGCTCACATGCAAAACAAAAAAAAAAGCAATAGAAGAAAACCCAGAAGTCTTCTGCAACAGTTTCAAAAGGGCACTATGCTAGAAAGCAACACTGGGGAAGGCAAAACACAACAGAAAACAATGATTGTTGCCAGGAGACATTAAAATTTCAGTTCTACAAAACATATATATTCATAGTTGTAGTAGGTATTGTATGAAAAGAAGCATGCAACATTATTAAAGCAGCAATTATTAGTGTTATTAAAACCTGGACAGTTTGAAAAAACACCTAAGAAATGAGCAGCAAGGTTAAGTCCCTCAGAATACACTGCAGTAAAATCACAGGCCAGGAGTTTGTAGGATACATAAAAGGAGCTCCTGGTGTCCAACAAGAGGAGCTGGGGCACCACTCCTGTAACAAAATGTACAATGAGCAAGCTCTGCCTCTCCCTTACAGGCATTACTTGCATATGCTCTTACTCTGGAAAGTTTTATAGGTTCACAATATCCTTTAGTTCTTGCTTTTTTTAATTTGCTACCTTGGTTCTTAAAATACACAGTATAAGATCTTTAATCACTGTAGAGCTGAGCTCTTCTGTGGCTCAGTAATACCAGATTTGTTAGCACAGATGTTAACAGTAGTTTTGGTTATTTAATTTTGAAGGACAGCTGGATATCAGACCTCATGGACACTTTCATATTTGTTCTGAAAGGTCAAGTACTATTCAAGAGAATCACTGCACACCTGAAAAACACACTACACACATACTCACTGGAAAAGCGACTCAGCAGTGGCAAATGCACAAGCACAGCAATATATACCATGGCTGTTTAGGGTATCTGTAATCCTGAAGTGGTGATTACCTGATGCATCAAATTCTTGCTATCAGGGACGCTGCTGACACGGTACAAGGCACGACTTACCTTCAGAGTAGCCAAGGTGCTGAGCTTTCTGCTTCCCAACTTTTAACATTTCTCTGTTAATGTCACAGACCACCACCTGGGAATCCCCTAGAGAGTTAAATTTGTCTTCCTGGTAATTCTGAAAAATTTCCTGCCATGACAAATTCTGATGTTGCTTGAGCTTCCTCTGGAGCTGCCGCTCTCGTGCAGAACGAACATAATTAATGAATCGAAAGGCAATGTCACCTGCAGTTGGTTTAAAAAGAAAGGTTCTCATTTTGGAATGTTTTCTGACTCCACGAAATTGAAAGATAAGGCTTTGAACATCAAATTGAGTTAATATTTATTTTAATAATAAAAAATAATTATTTTATATTAATAAAAACACTCCCCTCACATACTGTATATACACAGAGACTGTGTGTATGTATATATAAAAATATATATAGGGAATATATTCGAAGCAAAGAGTTAGTGACTTTTTACAAATTTAAACAGTTTTCCACAACATATCATGGCAGTACTATAACACTGTCAGACTCCTGGAGTAAGATATTACAAAACACAGAGAAGTTAACTCTTAACCCTTCTGTGGGTAAGTCAAGTAGATGTCTCACTGGTTTTAAAGACAGGGAACTGAGGGAGGGAAGAAAAAAAAAAACTGGGCAACTTAATTCTGAGCACTCAAACAGGTACAAACACATGTAGCAGTTATGTGGAACTCACCAAAATTATTTACCTGTTCCTCCAGCAACATCAAGAAGAAGTGTTCCCGGGCAAGGGTTCATTTTATGTACCAGGAAATCCTTCCACACCCGATGAATTCCTAAAGTCATGGAGTCATTCATCACATCGTACTTCTTGGCCACGTTTTCAAATACCTGGTAAACTGCAAAAAAAAAAAAAAAAAAAAAGGACAAGAAAATGAGATGGGACACAATTTACTTCACAACGCTCGTGTCGGAGTAAACCGTGTCTTTTATTGCCTCGTGGAGGTAAAAAAACATAACAAGAAAAAATCGAACCCTGCTGTGCCCGTTGCCTGACAGAGGTCTCTTTGGAGACGCAGCCTCCCCGAGCCGAGGGAAGCACGGAGCAGGTGTTATTATTCACAGGGACATTCCCAGGGATCCTCTTCACGGAGCCCCCTGGTAACGGCGGAACCTCCGGCACACCCCAGCACCCCGTAACCCATCACCGCTCCGCCGCGGGCCCAGCCCGCCCTCTGCCGCCGCCGCCCTCACTCTTCTCCCTCCTCTCCTCCTCCGTGACGCTCTGGAAGCCGAAGTGCATCTCCGGCCCCGCGGCCAGACCGCGGAGCGCCCGCGGGGCCCCGCGGACACGGGAGAGGAGCGCCCGGCCCCGGCACAGCCGCACCGCCGCCATCTTCCGCCGCCGGGGCGGGACCGGCGGGCCGGCACTCCGCCATCCGGGCGCTTCCCACCGCCGCTGGACCTCGGCACGGAACCCCCCGCGGGCCAGAGGGTGGTTCGCTGGGAGGGCAAGTCTGATGGGGATTAAAAAAAAAAACAAACCCACGCAAATAAAAACTGAGAAAAGTTGGGGCTGGAGGAGGGAAGGTGGCTGGAGTACTCGGAGCACCTTTCCAGTATGGAAGGAGGGGCCTCCAGGGAAGCCGGAGAGAGACATGGTCAGGAACTGGAGTGGGAGGACAAGGGGGAATGGATACAAACTGAAAGAGGGGGAATTTAGGTTAGATGTTAGTAATTCTTTACTGTGAGGGTGGGGAAACAGTGGAACAGGTTGCCCAGAGAAGCTGTGGCTGCCCCACCCCTGGCAGTGTTCAAAGCCAGGCCCTGAGCAACCTGGTCTAGGGGGAGGTGGGACTAGGTGGTCTTTAAGGTCCATTCCAACAACATTCTGTGAACCCTAAACCCATCACAGCCCTCATGGCTTAATTGAGTAATTTTGCAAATAGTTTAACTTTTTTATTTTTTTTCTTTAGATTTTTTATTTTTCAGTTTCCTAGGTTAAAGTGAAGCCTCGTGGGGAGCAGGAGGGAGGGTTTGTGGGTTCTGATAACCTGCAAGGAGGAGTGAAAGGTGCCTCGATTCCTGTCAGGAGCATTAGGACACATTAGGGATCTTTTCTGTCTTTTTTTTTTTTTCTTTTTTCAAAACCTGCCTTGCTTATCACTTTATCTGAATCATCCAGGAATTCTGCCAACTTTGTAGATACAAAAAAGTTACCTAACCCATTCTCAGGAGAGATGACATCACGCTATTAAAACCAGCCCAGAGACTGCATTCCCTGGGCATGAGCTGGGCTCCCTTGCCAGGACCTCCCTGCCACGTTGGGACTTCTGGCTCTGTCATCAGACCCCACCGTGATTTTATATCATTGTCATATCATATTTTTTAACTCTACCCTCTTTGTGGCAGGATGCCCTGCAAAGCATCATGTCTCTTTTTCGGGGTTGGTTTTGCTGGGTGTTTTTCTCAGCTATTTGGAGAGGTGATCTTTGCTTACCAGAGCCATGGCTGGGATAGCCCCTCTCACGCTGCAGTCACAGCTGCTGCTGTCCTGCCACGTTCACAGAACCACAGAATGGGTCAGGCTGGAAGGAACCACAGTGGGTCATCTGCTTCCACTTCCCTGCTCAAGCAGGGTGATCCCACAGCACATGGCACAGGACTGTGCCCAGACGGCCCTGGAATATCTACACTGAGGGAGATATCTCCAGGAGCTCCATGTCTCTCTTGCCTGAGGAGCCCAGAATTGGACACAGAACTCCAGATGTGCCTCCCCAGGGCTGAGCAGAGGGGCAGGATCCCCTCCCTGACCTATTGGCAATGCTCTTCCCAATGCATCGCAGGATTGCGTTGGGCTTCTCGGCCCCCAGGGCACACTGCTGGCTCAGGGACAGCCTGCTGTCCACCAGGACCCCCAGATCCATCTCTGCAGCGCCGCTCTCCAGCCGGTCGGCCCCCAACCTGTACCGCTGCTCGGGATTATTCCTTCCCCTCCTTCCTTCAGGCAGCTCGGCCGCGAAGAAAGAAACAAGGCGATGGGGAAGGGCTGCGCACGACCTGAGGGCCACCAGCCCTGTCCTGCCCTGGGCTGTGCTGTCCCGGCGGGGCTCCGGGGCGGCCCCGAGGCCGGGCCTGCCCTAAAGCCAGGCCTCACCCAAAGCCGGGCCCTCCGCGCAGCGTCGCGACCGCTCGTCACCATGGCAACCGGGCGCGGCCGCAAGGCATGCCGGGCTGAAAGAAATTGCTGCGGCAAAACCCTGTGAAACTGCCGTACTGCGGCCAATGAGCGCTCGGGATGCTGGCGGCGGTGACCAATGGCTGGCGGCCCGGTCGGAGGGGGCGGGGCCGGGGCGCTGTGAGGCGCGGGCGGCGCGCGCGGGTCGGTTAAACAGCGGCGGCGGCGGAGCCGAGCGTGTGTCGCTGCTCATCGCGCCGGGCCCGCTCCCGCCCCGCCCCACACAGCCCCGCGGCGCACGCCCCACGGTGAGCCGAGCGGCGGGAGCGCTGGGGAGGGACCGCTCCCGGGAGGGACCGGCTCCGGCTCGGGCACCGAGTCTGGGAGGTCTCTGGGCTGGGCACCCTGGTGGCGGAGCACCCCGGTGGCTCCCCCGTGCTTGGGCTCTCACCCAGCCCCACTTTTCCCGCATCTCCGGCTCTGCCGGAGGGACCCTTCCTTGGCGGCGGGGCCGGGCTTGGGTCGCCTCCCTCGGCTGGGAAAGGCCGTCGGGGCCGGGCGATGGAGCGGCCGCGCTGGGCTGGGGAAGGGCTGGAGGGCGGCGGGGCTTGTGTGGGTCCGGCTGGAGAGCGGGTGCTGAGCGGGACGCGGCGTTTCAGCCGCCGCTGCTCGGGCTGTACCCGGGGCTGTGCCCGTGCCCGATACAGCCGGCAAAGCGCTGCCCGGCCCCGGGAGCTCGCTGGGAGTGACGGTACAGGGGACTCCGGCAGGTGCTCCTGCAATTTTGAATTCTCATCTCGTTCGCCCAGAGCAGGCAATCATGAGCGATCGGAAGGCAGTGATCAAAAATGCGGACATGTCAGAGGAGATGCAGCAAGATGCTGTGGAATGTGCTACTCAGGCCTTGGAGAAATACAACATCGAGAAGGACATCGCTGCTCACATAAAGAAGGTAAGCGTTTGCATATTATGTGCTCATGAAATCTCTATGCACATGAGAAATCAATCAGGGAGAATGCTGTTAGGCAAGTCGCTCTAGAGAAACAAGTCCTAGACACACTAGATAATCAAGTTGGACTTTTTCTGTAGATTGATGTCCATATGTTCCTTCTCCCCACCCTTTACATGGACTTTTCCAGGTTGTGCTTTTCTCTTGCAGTGTTTTCTGCTTAGGCCTTTTCTGTCGCTGTCCTATTGTCCACGTGAGCAGAGTGGCAGCTGACTGTCCCTGTGACTGATGAGCTAGTACAAAACACAGGGGCTCTATTGAACTCTCCTGCGGTTTTCCTGAGAGCAAGCCAGTTTTCCTTAGTTTCAGTTGTATTGAACTTAATCTTAAGGATCTGTTTGTAGTTCTTGCCAGCTGGGTCAAAAATTGCAGGGAAAAGTAGTTTTCTGCAAATCTACTGTAATCACACCTCTTTTTTTTAGTGATATAAGGAAAAAAGAAAACCACAAAAAAAAATCTTGGGGGCGTGGATTATCTGTTGTTTGCAACATCTGTGTCATCCTTTATGTAGGATTAACAATACAGGAGAAAGATCTAGTTCAGATTATATTTCCTGCTTCGTCAGCTCCAGGGAACGGAGAAATCAAAGTGCGTCAGTAGAAGTTAAAGTGATCTGAGTGGAAAAATTGTTGAAATGTTAAGGCTTCTTGGACTGACACTGTCTGGAGTGAACTGCTTGGTATTAGAAGCTAAATTTGCTCAAGTCTTAGTCTGCAAGCTGTGAATTTTCACACAGATATGTTGAACTTTTACCAAACGCTGGAAGAGGGCCTCAAGAGCTGAGTCGGGCTGGAAGATAAGGAAGTTATAACCGTCAGCAGAAAACTCAACTTTAGAGATAGAAAACAGGCTGCCCAGAGACAGTGAAAAGAACCCAGACCCTAATATTGTTATTGGTCCAAACTATTGAGTGAAGGGTGGGAAACTGAGGTTGGGAGAGTGTAATTGCCCGGGGACTTCTGTGTTTGGTGTCCTTCTGTGAAGGTACCCAGCTCAGCTGTTCTGCTGCTGTGCCTTACTGAACTTAAAGCCTGAGGCTCTGCTCCAGTGCCCCAGGGGTGGAGACACCTTGAAAATACAGGATACCTGGGGTGGAGGAGCACTTCAACTAAGGAGAGTGATTAACTTCCACTAGCCGAATACTCATTTGCTATGACCACAATACAGAAAGGCATTTTTTCTCTAGGTGCAGGAACTATCTATGAGAGTAGAAAAGAGTTGAGTACTTTTCAGATACTTCTTGTAGCAGTTACTGGGAATTCATACAGGATTTGTTTGAAATGTGTGTAAAGCACAACTTCTTAGACTTGTTGATCATACTGCTGTTACAGAGCATGTGGCAGAGAATTTTCCCTTTAGCACAATGAAGTCTAAATTATGGCTTTGTCTCTGTGGGTACAAAATTAGCAGTGAAGATTTTACTTGAGGGTTGTAGATTCAGATCATGAGGGGAATTCAGAATTATGGGGGAAGAAAGACTAATTTCCCTGAACAAAAGTAATGTTTTAAACTTACTACTGCTCAGATGAGAAATTCTGTGGGATTTTTATGTCTTTGACTAAGCAGCAGGTGAACAATGAGATGCAAATAAGATAATCTCAGTACTTTAGAGCAACTGCTCTCCCTCGATTGCCATGCTCACAAAGTGAATACCTGTTAGAATTGTTCTTAATTTGTAGTGATCCTTTTTGCAGGAGTTTGACAAGAAATACAATCCCACTTGGCACTGCATCGTGGGAAGGAACTTCGGTAGCTACGTGACTCATGAAACCAAGCACTTCATCTACTTCTACCTCGGCCAAGTTGCTATTCTTCTTTTCAAGTCTGGTTAGAACCACGGACTGTTACTGAAACTTGCTTCCAGTTACAGGACTCTGACTAGTTACTGCAGCCTTCCTGAGGACACAGGCCTTGATTTTCAAGGGCAATGGCAGGGATTGTTATAGCAGATGATGTTACATCGTGGATATAAAAAGGAAAAGTACCAAAAAGTCTTCCTTGTATTTATTTTTTTCAGAAGGCTCCTCCTTTGCTAGTAGAGCTGTTGGAGCTGTTTTTCTTTTGAGAGTTCTATAGCCATCTACTGTATTTCCCCGTTACTGCTAGTGCTATGCAAGTACTGACAGTGTTTAGTTCTTTATGTTCCAAGCCTCTCTTATTTTACTTTTTTAAGATATTTTCCCCCTCTTGTTTTGCTGGATGTGCTGCCCCAAA